CAATTCCTATACTTTCCCTTGACACGTTGTGTACGGAAAAGTAAAATCTTGATAATAATGAAAATTGATTCAATCAATTGCAAACCACGGGCTTGACACGTTTATGCAAAGAAAAAGAGTACATGAAATGTGCACTCATCGCAAATGCCCATAAGTTGGGTTATGTGTTATAAATTTTCTTGAGCCTCTATTGATTTTCAAGATTATTCAATTATTCAATTTTTCGGCCAAATCACAAGGTTGAATGTCCAAAAGTGACATCGGAATTAATGTTTGGTCCTAAAATAGTTGTTATTTGGACTGGTCAAATGAACTGCTGTAAAATATCTATATATTGTATATGATTCTATGTATGACGTAAGCCACAGCATAAAAGCCAAAATTCACACGCTTGCAAGTTTCGTTAAGTTCTCAACGACGCAAAATTACACTTCGCCTCCATTGCACACAGAAAAGAATCCCCGGAAATTTTAGGTGTTCGCCGTAAAATTTGACATTTATATATAAATTTCTATGTACATTTTACCGGCAACACTTGAATTTTCCGGGCGATGACATAATTTCAAATATTCCAACAGAAATTAGCGCCATCTGTCATTTCAAGCGGTAAAATATATATAGTATTTGATAAAATGTTCGAAAATATGTCATCGCCCGGAAAATTGAAGTGTTGCCGGTAAAATGTATATAGAAATTTATATATAAATGTCAAATTTTACGGCGAACACCCAAAATTTCCGGGGATTCTTTTCTGTGTGTGGTAGCTGTCAATTGTGCAAATTCAGAGCTCAATTCAAAAACGTCGGTTAAATTCATGCAACATTTTCTTCTTCAAATTCCAATTTCCAGTACGGCCACCGAAATGTTCTGAAACTAAACGTTTTGTTCTATTAAAATAGTGATCGTTCTGCTAATTACATTGAATTGGTGCAATTTAAAATTGCACTTAAAGTTTTACCGCTATCACGCTTCTAACATCTACAGTCATCTGTCCAAACTAAATGAGTTTTACTAAATATTCATTGAGTGGGGACAACGAAACCGGATGGATGGCCGAAAATTGAAAGCCATATCACTGCGTTGTTTATGTTGTAATGTAAACAGATTTGTATTGCAGAATTATGCATGTCTCGCGAACACAACGAATACTATTTTAAATTCTGACTCTATGTATTTGTTGAGATCAAGATGAACAAAGCAATTGAATGCGAATTTAATTTCGCATACTTTGGAGTGGTAAGGGAGCTTTTACGCAGCCGATAACGATTTTGAATATACAGCTGAAGTTATAGAATATTTTAGATCACATATACTCCATCTGGATCTTTCTGGAAGCTATGTGGGAAAATTGAACGAAATTTCATTTGAACAGTTCTGATCACTAAGGCTTAAGCTACAACGCACTAATTTATCGATTTCTGATGTTAAACCCTTTGAAACTTCGACGGCTGTGTTGCTTTTTTGATATGTCCAACAACAATTTGATAAAATTGAATTTCTCTACGTCGTTAGTTTTCGTTAATTTAAAAGAAATAAATAATTTGGAAGTGTTTGTTTCCAATGACGCACTCCATGAGTAACCCTAATCTCGAATAAATAGATTGCTTAAAAATGATATTTGTTTCATTTTCGAAATTGTTTGCCGTTTTAAAACTCGAACGAAATCATTTTTTGATAAAACTAACCGAAATTCTTCTCATTTTGATGATGTAGAACTGACGAAGGAAATGCCAGAAGTGTGACGCAACGGGGAGCTGGCAGATTTTTTGATTTATCAAGTAACAATTTCTCTTGGAATTGATAAACGAAAGCCTGGCTTACTAAATACAATTGAAATGGAACAATAAATAAGATTTCTGCTTAGTTTCGATTTCATATTTGGTCCGAAAGGTTGAATTTTGTTTACTGTTTGACAAAATGAGATTTGTTATAGTTTGCATGGCGATTTTGATTTTGGCCAAACTTGTGCATACTCGAGATGATTGTATTTATCTTCCTGGTGAAAAGTTAAATAAAGATAACAGTGAATCACGACACTTTCTTTGCGACGCAGTACATTATGGATATGCTGACTGTAATTATTCTTCTGTGAAAGTGCTAAAAATTCAGAATTGCCCTGTCGAATCGATCGAGTCCAAATTTATTGGGTATCGAAATGTGAGCACGTTGGACTTTTCGTTTTCAGAATATACGACATTGGGCAACTTACATTTACCATTCGAGCATTTGAAGCTGTTTAATGTGTCTTACAACAAATTAACGGAAGTGCAAAAGTATTTATTTTCCAACACAAAACAATTAACGGAAGTGGACTTTTCACACAATCAATTCGAAAAAATAGTTTCGGGTTTGTTTAGTGGGCTTTTCGATTTAGAAGAGCTCGATCTAAGTGATAATAAAATTAGATCGATTTATGTGGACACTTTTCCAAAGAATTGCAAATTAAAAACACTGAACCTAAAAAATAATCCTATTCAACGGATAGATTGCAAAATTACATACTTACTGAATGGCATGACTTCAATAAACGTGTCATTCGAAAATGTTATTGAGTTCGATTTATCTTGTGCGAACCCTATGGAATGGACAATGAATGAAGAAGAAATAATTTTTAAAAATGCAAACAGCAAAAATGAGCTCCGATATCCTAAGATGAACTTCAAAAATTTAGAAGTACTCTCTATCAGCGGAAATCGATTAGAAAACGTGCTAGACATAGTAAACATGTTGAGAGAACCGATTCGGATATTGGATCTAAGTGAAAACATATTGAGGAAGGTGAATGAGACAGCGTTTTGTGATTTCAACAACTTGTCCACTTTATATCTAAGTGGAACCAATCTCTCATTCGCTGCTGAATCTAATCCTTTCGAGCCTCTTAACAAACTGAAGGAACTCGATATTTCCTACAACAATTTAACATCACTGAATATCAGTTTACTTTCAAAAACTTTGAGTAATTTGGAAGAGTTCCGAGCGGCTGGAAATCACATTGATAACGGTCTAGGAATCATACACAGTCTCGGATCAAATCTATGGGTATTGGACTTTTCTCAGAATATCATCGGAACATTGAATCGCAGTACATTCGAACGTTTTGGGCATTTGTATCGGTTAAATTTGTCAGACACACATTTGGAACATTTCGATGTGAATCCACTCAAAGTGTTCTCTTTAGACATTTCACGAAATAAATTGAAGCGATTGAATGTGAATTTACTATCGCATACTTTGAGAAAGTTAAAGTACTTTTACGCAGCCGATAACGATTTCGAAAATACTACTGAAATCATACAAAATATGGGATCAAATCTAGGATATCTGGATCTTTCTGGAAATTATGTGGGAAAATTGAACGAAACTACATTTGAACAAGCCCAAAATATTAGTCGGCTTTGGCTACGACGCACCAATTTATCGATTTCTGATGTTAAACCTTTTGAAACTATGCGGTTGGCCTACCTAGATATTTCGAAAAACAACTTGAAAAAATTAAATTTCTCTACTTCGATTGTTTTTCGGACCTTAGAAGGAATTAACTTGAGTGAAAACCATCTTACCCAACTGGACGGTCTCAAGCACTCTTATCCAAAACTCACCAAACTGGATATTACAAATAATGACTTGAAATGCACCTATCTATTCATGTTCAGAATAGCATGGGACAGACTAGAGATAATTGGAGATCCGTGCACTGAAATTGAAAACAATGAAACTCAAAGCCAAACTGACACAGAGAGCAGCACACTATTGATTTATGGATCATTTGCATTGGTAATTTGTTTGATTTCATGCGCTTTGGATGTCTATTGTTTCCGAAAACGTCGTAAAAGCGCTGGCTCGACCAATTTCGAAACTGGAGATGTCAATGGTCTTAACCCCGAATGCCCATTGGATGTACAGGCTGATCTGCTTCCGTACGATAGGAAATATGAATTTCCACGCAACAAGCTTAAGCTTGGAAAACAACTTGGCGCCGGAGCTTTTGGAATTGTGTCGAAGCGATGGCACAGGGAATCGTTGATGGTGAGGAGGAGACAAGAGTTGCCGTCAAAATGGTGAAGAACATCGCCAGCAACGAGGGTGGTCAATGGTCATTTAAATATATTCCATTCATTATCAACTGAATCAATCCAATAGGTGATGCGAGCATTTGAATCAGAGTTAAAAATCATGGTTCA